CAGTCGCAGCAGGAGTGTGTTACAAACTGACCTGCTGTCACTATTGTGACATATTGTATTGCTATCGCAGTGCGCATCAGCACACGCCATCAGAAATGGATTCTCGACTTTTGTAAAAACGGACCCGTCCCAGCTACAACTTCAAAATGGTTAATGAGTATGTTGTTATATTGTATTATATTCTCCCAAGAGAAAATTTGAGCACAAAAAACGGTTCGTGAGCTAACTAGCAACTGACGACTGGTGTCACATAGATGTCAAAACAAGATGGCGTCCTCTATGGACCTCTTATCTTTACGGCACCCAGCCAAAGCACTAACTGACGAGCAACATCTACTCCCAGTCCCCTCACCCTCCGAACAACACACCCAGATCCAGGGTACTCTGTCACAAGCTTCCGAATCCAAGACTGTGCTGAACAACCCCAAGACTGTTGGAACGACCCCCAAGACTGCTGCCCGAGAGCGCCCCCTGGGGGGGGCAGAATATAGCGAGCCACGCCGTGCTACCTTGTGCTTGGTCATGGCTCCCACGATCAACGGGCACACCATCCCCGACAGGGTGCCCACGCCGTTGGAGATGCCCATGAGGATGCTGGCGTACCGCGGCGCGATGTCCAGGTGGTTGACGTTGAAACCTGAGGACAGGGAGAGATGGGATCAGCAGGAATACCGGATGATGCGTTGCCGAGGAGAAACCACGACTGGACACTTCTGGCTTATCCCTCCCCGAAAACCACTGAAGGATACGGAACACCGTCATTTCTGAGGGCGGAAGTTTTGAGTTGGGGTATTGAGAAAAACACGTTTCATGTTTTTTTTTCCCATTTTTAACGCTCCTAAGCATTATGGGAGCATAGGGGCACGAACGTCCAGGTTCAGAGACAGTTTCTTCCCACAAGCTGTCAGATTACTGAACTCTACCCCCACCACTGGATCACAATGATTTTTTTTTTTTCTAAGATGTATGTTATCTAACTTGTTGTTGCTGCTGCTGCAGTTCTATGTTTATGTTGTTGCTGTTTCCTTAATGTCTTTGTATTGGAGCATACATGCAAATAAGCACTTCATTGCACTTGTGCCTATGAACTGAACTGAACTGATCCTAAACCCCTCCTCTTAAGGA